AAAACTTTAAATGAAATTACATATAAAAATAATATGTGCCAATGAAATAATGTAGGCAAATTCTAATTTATGTGATATAGCACCTATTACGAGGAAACTCAGTAAACCATTTTCTAAAACTTCGGATTGGAGAAGTAGCTCCAGTGGTGGAGAGCCTGCAATGCTCTTGCAGAGCACCTGAGTTTGGCTCCCAGCACCTACAACTCACAACTGTCTGTAACTCCAGTTCCAGGGGGATCCAACACCTCTGGCCTCCATGGGCACCGCATTCATGTACATATACCCACCCACAGACATACACATATATACATTAAAATAATAAATCCTTAAAATGTTTACCACTTGAAAAAAAAAAAGGTTGTAACAATCAGGTACTAACATGAGCTCACCAAGAACAATTCTCTGAGTTGGGCATAGTGGCACATGCCTTTAATCATTGGGAGACAGAGAAAGGTGGCTGTCTGTGAAATGAAGGCCAGCCTGGTCTCCATAGCAAGTTCCAGGCCACCTGGAAAAAAAAAAAGAACAAGGCACTGGAAAGATGACTCAGTAGTTAAGAACACTTACTGTTCTTCTAGAGGATCTAGGTTCGATTCCCAGCACCCACATAGCAGCTAACAACTATCCATAACTCCAGTTCCAGGGGATATGACGCCCTCTTCTGGCCTCTGCAGGGCATTGCATGCACATGGTGCACTTACATACATGTAGGCAAAACACCCATACACATTAAAATAAAAATAATAAAATATTTTTTTAAAAAAAGTTCAAGTCCTCTGGCTGGACATTGGTGGCCCACATCTTTAATCCCAGCATTTGAGAGGCAGAGACAGGTGGATCTCTGTAAATTCAAAGTCAGCTTGGTTTACATATTGAGTTCCAGGGCTAAATAGTTTGTCTCAGAACAAATAAACATGAATTAATCTCTGGGACCCCTCTCTGATGTTACTCCTCAAAACTTTGCTTGTACACACACACACACACACACACACACACACACACACACACACCTGCTAAACAACAGTTGGTAGAATGCCTGTCCTGAATGCATGAAGCCCTGGATTTGATCCCCAGCACTGCCAAACAAATAAACAAACAACAACAAACCCAAGTTTTATGTACTTGACTTCACTGGTGCATAGAAATATAAGATGAAAAGGTATCTTTACATACATCAGGGATGTACTTTCATTCTGAAAACAGCATTGACAGGAACCTTACAACAGGGGCTAGAGAGATGGCTCATTGGGTTAAAAAGCACTGGCTGCTCTTGCAGAGGACCTGGGTTTGTTTCCCAGCACCCATATGGCAGCTAACAACCATCAGTAACACCAGTTCCAGGGGATCAAATGCCCTCTTCTGACTTGTGTGGGCATTGCATAGGTACACATGCATGCATGCAGGTAATATACTCATACACATAAAATAAAAATAGTAAATAAAAAAAGAATCAGATAACAGCTTCATGAAAAGGCTGGATTTCAGAAGTTAGATGACTAGTAAATAACCATAGACGCAGGATTAATCATGAACATGACCTCTGTATGCCTCAGTTTCCATATTTGTCAAAGGAATATATAGTATCTCATTGAGTTGTCATGTAAATTAAAGTGCCTGACATTTAGTCAGCACCATGTAAATGTTTGTTAAATAAACTCAAACAGAAGTTCTTAATGGCATGCTTGCACAGTACTTGGCTCCAACTTCAACAGCTGCACTGGAAACTTGTTAAATTTTCATATGGCATGCTTGTCAAATGCTTAGATGATGTGTCAGATGATGAAACAAACCAAAATCCAAAAAAAGTCTTGACAGACTAGGATTATGAGATGAAATACAGATTAAATTAATGCCATCTCATGTCTTTGCTTCATTTCTGTTGCCAGGATAAAATACCCTCACAAAAGCAACTTAAGGAAGGAAGGGCTTATTTTAGCTCAAAGTTCAAGGTACAATCCATCCTGGGGAGCATTCAAGGTAGCAGGCGCTTGAAGCAGCCGGTCACATTACATCAGCAATCAGAAAGCACAGTGAATGTTATACCAGTGCTCAGCTCACTTTCCCCATTTTATAAGGTCCAGATCCCAGTTAGGGAATGGTGCCACCCACAGTGGGTGGGTCTTCCCAACTCAATTAATGTAATCAAGATAATTCCCTACAGGCATACACAAAGGCTCTTTTTCCAAGGTTTTCTAAATTCTGTCAACTTGACATCACTTAACCATGACACCTAGGTAGAAATTTTAACAACAAAATCCATATTTTTCTTTTTTCTTCAAATACTAAACTGGGGTGCTAGAGAGATGACTCAGAGGTTAAAAGCACTGGCTGCTCTTCCAGAAGACCCAGGTTCAAATCCTAGCACCCACATGGTGGCTAAGAACCATCCTTAGTTCCAGTTCCAGAGAACTGGATGCCCTTTCTGACCTCCATGGGCATTGCATGACATGGGTGCACTTACATACATGGAGGCAGTACACTCATACACATAAATAAAAATACATAAATAAAAATTTAAAAATACTAAACTGGCTTACCAGGACTTTCTATGGATTTTAAAGGGAATTTTAGTTAATTCTAACTCAACATGAAAAAAAGTGCATCTAGCAATTAATGCAATATTTGGCTGCATTAAGAGAATTGGAATATCCTAAAGACACCGCAGTGACTGCAGAGATAACTTAGTCTATACAGTGCTTGCTACAGAAGCATGAGGACCTGTGTTTAATCCTCAGCACCCACATAAAAGCCAAATGTACTGGGTGCTTATAATCCCAGCACTGAGAAGGTAGAGACAGACCGTGAGGATCACTGACCAGCAAGCCTAGCCTAATCTCCTAGCCAAGAAACTGTCTCATAAAACAAGGTAAGGTCAAGAACTGGAGAGATGGCTCAGTGGTTAAGAGTACTGGTTGCTCTTGCAGAGGAAGGCTGGGTTCCCAGCACCCACCTGGCAGCTAGTAACCATCCATAACTCCAGTTCTGGGTGATCCCAATCACATAAACAGATACTGTGTGAACATACACTTCAAGATGGTCACCGCAGTTTGCCCATGGTTAACTCTTCCTTCCCCTTCTCCTTAGGTTTCTCCTAACTAGCATCTCCTAATACTCTGGATACAGAATGGCTGAATACACAGACACACAATGAGGAAATGCAAGGCAGGGGTGAGCCACATTTCCAATTCATGTGGAGGATAGGAAACACCCGCATGTGGGTCTCAGGGGACAGTCTGAAGACTTAGAAGAAATATAATTAGAACTTTATCCAGGCTTCTAATGGCTCACTGTGCTACAATGCTAAAGTAAATTCTCTAATCGAGATTACTACAGGCTTTATCTAATCTGTTTCCTATAGGAAATCAAGCTACTCCCAGGCACTTTATCAAGTTTTTCTCTTAATAATCCCTGTCCCTGACAAAAGAAGATATTGTCATCCCCACAGTACAGATAAGAAATTGAGGCAAAGAAGTAACATGAATTGCCTGGGGTCACACAGAACTAGAATTACAATTTAGTATCTAATCTTAGAGCACCACTACCTGAGTTTGGGAGGGAGTACACTGGAATCATATTACAGCCTTGAAAAAAAAAAAAAAGTCTATTTTAATCTCTAGGAGAAAGAAGATTAATTATATTTTCCTTGGTGCATACCAAAAAAATGTTAAATAGACACTTTAGATTCCATACATTTATTCTAATCTTTTTCCAAATACCAGGAAGTCCTGGTTTTACCATTAGGATGATATGGGAAATTAACTATTCTTTTAATTAAGGCAAATATTTGTTTGCTAGAATCTCCAAGGGAAGCAATTAATCTGGAAAGTTGGACAGTACAGATAGGCTACTTCAGATCACTGGGAGCAAGATGAAACCCGACAGGCAGGAATCCAGATGGTCAAGGGACACAGTGGGTAAAGGAAGGTGGAGAAAGTGCGTTTCAACCAAAACTCATACTTAAGCTATTATTATAAAGATTTACATATTTCATCCAATTGTTGGATATGTCCATGTTCATTATAAAAAATCTTGAAACTAAAGTTAAACAAAACAAAATGAAACCAAAAGTATTCACTATTCAACCACCATACCATAAGAACCCTTTGTGCCTGGCATGGTGGCACAATCCTGTAATCCAGGGCTTGGCAGGCTGAGGCAGAATGATAGAAAGTTTGAGATCAGCTGGGGAACTATAACAAGAACCTGTCTCAAAAATCAAAGAAGAAATTTTTTGAAATTTAGGGGAGGAAGAGCAGAAGCAACTCATGTATCTGATCACAAACTGGCCAAGTTAGAAGGTACAAGCAACCCTAAGGTTCTGTGCACATTCCTTTAATTAAGCGGGGAAAACAGTGACTTATCCATGGAAGACTGCCTTATGTGTTTTTAGCATTTTCCCCAGATAATATAAGACCACAATTCAATATACCCACTGGTAGTAAGGAGAAATAAATACCTGGGACTGGAGAGATGGCTCAGTGGTTAAGAACACTGGCTGCTCTTGCAGAGGATCCAGGTTCAGTTCCCATCACCCACATGGTGGCTAACAACTGTCTGTAACTCCAGTTTCAAGGGCTCCAACACCCTCTTCTGACCTCTGTGGACACTACACCACACAGGTACACTTATATACATGTAGATAATATACCCATACACATAAAATAAAAAATAATAAATATTGAAAATTTTATACTATCATTCTAGAACTCTATCATTCACTTACTTAGACCAGCAAGTATCATGGGAAAAATTGATTACCTCTCTTTAATTATATGTATAAGTCACCTCTATTGAATGTCATGATTTTAAAATGTATTTTGATTGAATGCTTCCCTTTTCTCAGAGAAGACTTACACAGACCCAAAACTCATGTAAAGTGTGGGTCCAAAAAATGTTAGCAATCCACAAGGACAGCACAAGCTTTCCAAACAGTGAGTGATGTCACCCAAGAGCAGCGTACTTCAGCCCATCTTCTCCCCACCTGAGAATCAGGCTGTTACCTTTTTGTTCTCAGCCACACCATCCTCACAGTCCAGCACAGCACAGTCTACTTTCAGAGATGGAATCTTCTTTATTTTCTTTTCGTCATTGCCAGGCACGTAGAGCACTGCCCGCCGAGGGGTATACTTGTGATTAGACAAGGAGTTGTATCTAGGCCTACAGACACTGGCCACTAGAGATGTCTTCCTGCAGAAAACAGAACTGAGGTTAGTCCAAAATGGAATTTCTTTATCTATAAATATGTGAAAAATATTTTATTTAGTCACTTCATTCTGGCTTTTTTTTTTTTTTTTTTTTTTTTTTTTTTTTTTTTTTAAAAAAAAAAAAAAAAAAAAAAAAAAAGAGGACGATAAATCTTTCACTGTGATATATCAAAATAACCAGGCTGGCCTCGAACTCTCAGAGATCCCCCTGCCTCTGCCTCCCAAGTGCGGGAATTAAAGGCATGTGCCACCAAAGATTTATTTATTTATTCATTTGTGGGGGGTGTTTTTTTGAGACAGGGTCTCCCTGTTGCCCCAGCTGGCCTGGAACTCACTATATAGACCAGACTGGTATTGATCTCACAGAGATCCACCTGCTTCTGCCTCCTAAGTACTGGGATTAAAGGTGTATACCACCATGCCTGGCTTTTTAAAAATTTTTTAAATTATGTATATATGTGTGTCTGTGTTGGGGTATGTGTACATCAGTGCAGGTACTCACAGAGACCAGAGGAGGTCTTTGGATCCCCTGGAACTAGAGTTACAGGGTGCAGGTAGTAGACTCAGGTCCTCTGCAAGAACAGTATGTACTCTTAACCACTGAGCCATCTCACCAGCCCTATTTTGGCCTTTTGAGACAGGGTCTTGTTACGTAGCCTTGGCTGGCCTAGTAGTTACTATGGAACCCAGATTAACCTCAAATTCAGGGCAAGCCCTGGGGAAGGAAGAGAATCTAATTTAGACACTACCTTTTTAGATTCAAATGCTAAGTTCTCAACAATGTCAAAAAAAATCAGAAGGCATGCAAAGAAATAGAAAAATATGGGCCTGTGTAAGAGAAAAAACAGCTCAGTAGAAGCAGACTCCAAAGATCACCTGTCAGCACACCTACTTGACAAAGACATTAAAACAGCTGTCATGTTCTGGCTTTTGTTTTTTTTGACCAAGTCTTGCTGTGTAGCCCATATTGACTTGGAACTCAAGAACTTCCTGCCTTCCCCTTTTAAGTGCTGAGCTTACACTTGCTATTGTAGCAGTGGCCTGAGCCTCTTTGTGAGTGCCTATCAGTGATCAGAGCACAAATCCTTAGTATTTGAAGAATATGGATCTATTTTTGTTCACCTTGAGTCCTTCATACAGTATGCAAGTTATGTCCAACATATACACAGCTATCTAACATGTGACTAAGAGATGAAGGATGGTTAAAAAGGAAATTGACCCCAAGTAACTGCAATCTACCATTCAAGTGTTTCCCAAGAAATTGCAGATCTTCAATGGATTCCAGAATTTCAGGGCCCAGCATGGTGGCTCATGTCTATAATCCTAGTATTCAAGAGACAGAGGCATAAACTCAGTTGGTAGGGTGCTTGTCTACCATGCACAAAGGCTGGGGTTGATCCCCAGCACTGCATAAACTAAGTGTGGTGGCACATGCCTGTAATCCTGGTGCTTGGAAGGTGAGGCAGGAGGATGAGGAGTTCAGGATCATTTTGGATACATAGGAAATTTGAGGTCAGCCTAGGCAAGAGACTCTATTTAGGGGTAGGGGGGAAGCAAAGCATGAAGACCTTGAGTTTGAGTTCAGCCTGGGGCACATAGTGAGACTTGGCTCAAAAACACCAAAAAACAGAAACAAACAACAACAACAAACTCAATTCCAGTTTTCCAAAACTGGTAGGTTACACCTACAAGATTCTGCAGTGTTCCATGCCTGTAATCTAGGCACTGGGGAGGTGGAGACAGGAGGATCCCTGGGGGCTTGCTGGCCAACTTGTCTAACCAAATCAGTGCGCTCCAGGTTCAGTAAGAGACCCTGTCTCAAAGAATAAGGTGGATTAATCCCAGCAATCAGGAAGCCAAGGCAGGTAGGTCTCTGTGAGTTCAAGGCCAACCTGATCTACATAGTGAGCTCCAGGCCAGCCAGAGTTACAGAATAAGACCCTGTCTCTGGATAGAAAGACACCTGATGACAACCTCTGGCTTCCATATTCCATATGTGTGGAATATGTGCGCGCGCGCACACACACACACACACACACGCACGCACGCATGCACACACAAAAATATAATTGACACCTTCTTCTGGAGAGCTTGCACTGGTGGGTACTATGGTTTGGATAAGCTCTTAGTTTGGCCCCCTAATATAACATTTGCTCCACCAAGTGGTGATGTGAGAGGTAGTTCCTAGTGAGAGGCCCTTAGCTCATAGCAGGAGTGCCCTAAAAAATGATTAAGGTATTTTTGCTGGACCAAGTTAGTTCTGCAATAGGTTACCATGAATGAGTACACACAGCAATGCCTCAGCCTCTTCTGGCTTCCTGTCCTGCAGTTTGATCTCTCTTGTGTATTTTCTCACAGTGTGGTGCTGTCTCCTACAAGGGGGCAAAGCCACAGAGGCCCTCACCAGAGCCAGCATGTACAGTATGGACCTTTACTTCCAAAATTATCAGGCAAATAGACCTCCTTTCTTTATAAAGTTACCCATCACAACCACTTCATTATAGTAAAGAAAACATATTAATACAGTTAACTAACAAGCTCACACTAACTGTATACCTCTTCTAAGCAGTATAGGGAGATAAGAGACCACATTGGGCTGAAACATCTAAAATTACCATTTTGTAGGTTAAATTTTCAGTAATTTCATATCATTTGGCTTAATGTTTTATACCACATTATACTGCCACTTTAAACCTTTGAAAAGTTTTTATTAGCTTGTTTTCAGCCAATTATAAAAGAAATAAGAAAGGACTAATACCATTTCTGATAAATGTTTGAAATATAGAGAAAAGCATACAGAGGTAGAAAAGTCCTAACCCCAAATTCTACAAAGACATCCTGAACCATATCTCAAGGTATTTGCTTCTGGGTATTTCTCATTGAATGCTTCATAAAGTTAAGATACTGTTGTATAGCTGGACAGGGTGGTGCAAGCCTCTAATCCAAGCCCTCAAAGGGCAGAGGCAGGTGAATCTCTGTGAGATGGAGGTCAGCCTAGTCTACATAGCAAATTCCAGGCCAGCTAGGGCTACAGCGAGACGCTCTCTCAAAATAAACAAGAAAAAACAGCAACAACAAAAAACATAGATACTATTGTATGTCTATTATTCCATCCTCTACTTTAAACAGCAATAATGAGGCCAGCAAGAGGGCTCAGTGTGCAAAAGTGGCTTGGTGTACAAGCCTGGCAACCTGAATTCTAGCCCCAAAACCCACATAAGGGTGGAAGGAGAATATGGGCTTCCAAGGGTCTTTCTCACTTGCATCATGGTGTGCACACGTACGCGCACACACACACACATACACACAAAGCAATAATAAATAATTTAAATAAAATAACAATGGAAACAATCCTCATTTAATATTAGATATCTTTGTAAATATTTTCTCAGCTTTATTAAATTAGAGCTGACAGAATTGGATATATTCAAGGTATACTATGATGTTCTGATATAAATATACAATATAAAATTACCAGTCATAAAGATAATTGACATATCTGTTACCTTTCATAGTTGTATTTTAAGTGCATATGTGGTGAGAATAATTAAGATTTACTCTCAATACCTTTCAAGTATACAGTGCATTATTAACAAGTATAATCTCCAGCTGTGTTTAGCGCTCCATGACTCATTCCGCTTATGTCTGTACCCTTGGACCAACATTTCCCCAGTTTCTTTACCTTTCTTTCTTAACATCCTTCTCTATAATCCTGCTTGGTAATCAGCCTGCTACTATTGCAAAGAGGTGGTCATTGTGTGTGTGCATGTGTGTGTGCGTGTGCACACACACGAACACACAAGTCAGAGGAAAACTTCAGGAGTCGGTTCTCTCCTTCCACCATGTGGGTCCTGGGGATTGAACTCGAGATTGTCAGGCTTGGTGGCAAGTGCCTTTACTCACCGACCATAATGCTAGCCACAAGAAGCAGGTATACAGGATAGGCCTGCTGCTTTCCATCCTTGTTGGTATGGAAGAGCCAAGCGTTCATGCTGATTAGAGAAGATAATTTCCATTCTCTCCTCTTTGCCATCCTTGAGCCTTTCATCCAACCGATGAGCTGCCCCTTCTTTCCTCTGTTCTTCCTCCCTTCCCATAATACATTCATGCCCTGTTTAGGGCCCCCTCCACCTTTACCTAAATGACAAGGATGCCTATCATGTGTCTTTACTGACCCACTTTATTCTCTTGTTCCCTCATTCACTCACTGAACACTTAGTGAACACCCAATGGGTGACCAGCACTGAGTTTTGGCTAGCACACGTGGCAGCACGGATGTGCAGATTATAAGGTACCTCCTTGCCTTTTTGGTGGATAGAAGGACCAAAAGGCACCTCAGGGTCCCTCTGCAGCCTTGTCTGGGGCCTGGAGACAGTCTGTAGGTCAACCCTACTGTGCCTCTTGCCAGGTGCCTTGTCTAAGTCACACCCTGCACTACTGTATGAAAGGCTCTAGGCTGCAGGGGGCTAAACATGGTGGAAAGGTGACTCAAAAGCAACAAGGCCTACCCAGAAGTTCCAGAGGGACCCCTAGCAGAGTGGCCTGGAGAACAGTGCCAGGAAGGCTCAAGGCTGGTCATAGTGAGCCTTGAGGGGAAAAGAACAAGGGCAGGAAATGTTTGGAAAAAGAAGAAGAAATTAGGGAATTTGAGGCCAACCTGGGCTACATGTGACCCTGTCTCAAAGCAACAACAATAATAAAAAATCATCAAATTCTAGGCCCCACTCACTGCCATTAAATTAACTATGCTAGTCATCAAGTCCAGGCCTAGTAACTTCTTAAGTGCTATGGGCCCTTACTACTTAAGTAAGAAGTTGTTACAGAACAGGACCACAGACTCTTCCCTATGTACCTGGGAGACGCCCCCATCTCCAATGGGACCTGATATGTGGAACATGTTAGATATACAGAATCTGTGCTCCAATGAAGCTTTCAAAGCTGCCCTGGGCTATACATTCTCAAACCCAGCACCACTGTGGAATC